ATTTGGCTTATGGCTAACATGACATTAGCACAATTTACTACACACCGTCTGATATATCCAACATGGCATTTATATGTATTAAAGTTCCACACTTCATTGATTTTCGCAAAGACGGACACGGCATGTCTATAAGTGATATAAGCATACTCTATTCGTGTTGGATAATCGGGAATATATACGATTGATATACACTGCATTCGCTATGACCAACATATCATACATATGAATGATATTAGCACACTCCATCCGCCATGGCTAAAATGGCATATATATGAGCGCTAATATCACACTCAATCCGGTACGGCTAACATGGAAAACCGTGAATGATATTAGCGCATTCCATCCGATATGGCTAACAAGGCCTACGTATAATTGATAAATGCACACTCCATCCCCAATGGTCAACATGGCATACATACGAGGGATAATAGCACACTCCATCCACATTGGTCAACATGGCATACATATGAGGGATAATAGCACACTCCATCCACATTGGTCAACATGGCATACATATGAGGGATAATAGCACAGTGCATCCACACTGGCTAAAATGGCATACATATGAGGGATAATAGCACAGTCCATCCACACTGGCTAAAATGGCATACATATGAGGAATAATAGCACAGTCCATCCACACTGGCTAAAATGGCATACATATGAGGGATAATAGCACAGTCCATCCACACTGGCTAAAATGGCATACATATGAGGGATAATAGAACAGTCCATCATGATTCACACTGGCTAAAATGGCATACATATGAGGAATAATAGCACAGTCCATCCACACTGGCTAAAATGGCCTACATATGAGGGATAATAGCACAGTCCATCCACACTGGCTAAAATGGCATACATATGAGGGATAATAGCACAGTCCATCCCCACTGGATAAAATAGCATATGTATGAATTATAAAAGCACGCCCCAGCCTTGATGGTTAACATGATATAAAATGAACGATATTTTCATACTCCATCCGCTATGGCTAACATGGCATATATTAGCATGACTGACGCAACAAGCGTCAAGCAATACGCGCGATCACATACACTTGTAAACATATGAATATTCTGCCATTTTACCCAGACTCCTTCCTCCACGAGCGCAGTGGAACAGTAACACTATTCACAACCATTATCCGTAACGATGGCGGTCCGTAATTGGATTTTATTGCCCGAACCAACTATACGAAAAACAATAAAAAACAATCACATGATCTTAGAATCACTGGCTTGACTGTCGTAATTAAAGTATTCACTGAATCGT